TCAGATATAACAGACAATGAGTTCAGAAATAAGACAATATATTTAGACATTTTTCTTCAAAAAATGACTTTGGCTCCCAGGTCGACCCAGCTTTGAGTGTGTACCGGGTGCAGTCCCGGGAAGTAAAGGCTAACCACATCACCCATCTTGTGCTGATTGGTCTATAAAAATACAGGTCTAGCCCTATATGCCTAAAGGCATGGAAAAGGGTCCTTTACTTAAACAAAAAAAATATTTAGACATAAAAGACAAAATATTCAGAAATAAGACAATATGTTTAGACATAACAGACAATGCATTCAGAAATAGGACAATATATTTAGACATAACAGACAATATATTCAGACAATATCATTCAAAAATAGGACAATATATTCAGACAGAGCATTCACAAATAACAGACAATGTATTCAGACATAACAGACAATGTATTCAGACAATGTGTTCAAAAATAAGCCAATGTATTTAGCCATAACAGACAATATCATTCAAAAATAAGACAATATATTTAAACAGAGCGTTAACAAATTACAGACTATGTATTCAGACATAACAGACAATGTATTCAAACACAAAATCAAAAACAAGACTATCATAAAACATGAAAATCATAAGTTGTAAAAACATCAACTCACCTCAGTTGTGTCCAACACAACAGATGAGTGTGGTAAAATCAGCAGTTTATATTGTCTTTTTGTTCTCAAGATGTTGAATCGAACCCACTTTCACACACCCTCACCACTACTTTGGGGTTGGGGAAGGGGAGGGGGAAATACATGCAAAGGTGCCAATCAAGGCCCATTTTATCGAGCCTAAACTCTTTCAAAGTCTACCAAAGCTCAAATAATCAGATCAACATAAAACTCTTGACAACACATATGTATCAATAAAACATGTCTGTCGGTGAGAAATGTGCCACATATTCTATCATAAAGAGTTCACGACCAGCATCATATGAAACTCATGAACGTGTGAACAGCTTTGTCTTGACACACGAACTGAACATACAGGACTCTGTCTTCATGTAAAAATTGATCATAAAATACTGTGGCAATACAACAGGAGTAAACCAGCGGTACAACCGGAGAAACAAAAATATTGCTGGGTTAAAAGCATCAAAATAAATTTGTTGAACAAGTGGGTTCACACGAAAACGTTTAACAAGACACAAGCATAACATCTTGTTTAAGGTGGGTTGAATTGGGGTTGGGGGGGGGAGTGACCAGACAGGGCAGACAGAAATCTTATTCTATGTGGAGAGTCTCTTTCATAGTGTGGGTTTGAAAACTGGAGAAACAAAAATCAGTCTTTGTCTATGTGGATTGAGTTTTCTGTACTGTGTATGGAAGACTGCACAATAGAGAAACCAATCTATTTTCTACTGAGGAGAACTAGATTGAGAGAAAGAATCTATTTTCCACTAACTGGGGTGAATTAGACTTGAGGGAAACCAATCTATTTTTCCATTATGGAAAGGAGGCAAGGAGAATGAATCTATTCTTCCCTGTGTAGGCAAGGAGAATGAATCTATTCTTCCCTGTGTAAGCAAGGAGAAATGTATTCTTTCATTTTTGGTGATGACAGGACACCAAATGCCAAAGATGACTAAAATAAACACACAAATCAGCAGAATGTTGTGCAATGACCTGCAGCCAATGTAAGACAACAAACACCATAGAAGGTCTAGTCTAACCTGGCTGCCACAGTCCAGGGACTGTCTATGCACCAAGTCAACACATCCCAGCTGGTGACAAGCCAGGGCAGTTGACAGTTCAGGCAGTTGACAGGCTCAGACTGTTGCTACTGGACTCTGTCTGTAGCAAGCAGCTCCCCCTGTCTATTTTCCACTGGCCGGAGAACCAGATGCACACACGTGTCACGACTGTAACTTACACACAGAGCATGTTGAGAAAGGTGGATACAGACATACTCTATGCATAGTGGCAAGCACTGCTTCAGGGTCCCAGCTAGGCAGTGTTCTGTGGATATGTTCTCCAGGTGTGTAGAGAAATGAAGAGGCAGACAGACTGGCTGGTTGTGCACCAACAGTGGTGAATGTGTGCATGGCAACTGAGATTTGGTCGAGGCCCTTCTGGAGCAAGTGAACAATGTGGAGGCATACAAAAGATCACTATGGTCTGGAAAGAACGGTACAGCCAGGAGTCACCAGGGGATCTGGTCGATACTGTGCACTTAGGAGAAAGGCAAGACCAAAATGCTGACCCCAGTGGAAGCGGAACTCTTCAATGGCTGCTGAAGATAAGGATAGAGCGTTTATCGGAATGTCCCTCATGCTATGATGTAAGCTGTGTGCTCTTCTACTCCACAGAGCTGTGACTTCAATCCCTTTATCTCACAGTGGATGGTTCAGCTGTGCTATCCATTACAAACCTCACAGTGGATGGTTCAGCTGTGCCATCCATTACAAACCTCACAGTGGATGGTTCAGCTGTGCTATCCATTACAAACCTCACAGTGGATGAAACCTCACAGTAGATGGTTCAGCTGTGCTATCCATTACAAACCTCACAGTGGATGGTTCAGCTGTGCCATCCATTACAAACCTCACAGTGGATGGTTCAGCTGTGCTATCCATTACAAACCTCACAGTGGATGGTTCAGCTGTGCTATCCATTACAAACCTCACCGTGGATGGTTCAGCTGTGCCATCCATTACAAACCTTACAGTGGATGGTTCAGCTGTGCTATCCATTACAAACCTCACAGTGGATGAAACCTCACAGTAGATCGTTCAGCTGTGCCATCCATTACAAACCTCACAGTGGATGCTTCAGCTGTGCCATCCATTACAAACCTCATAGTGGATGGTTCAGCTGTGCCATCCATTACAAACCTCATAGTGGATGCTTCAGCTGTGCTATCCATTACAAACCTCACAATAGATGATTTAGCTGTGCCATCCATTACAAATCAATATTCTGGTATCATGGCATCGGTGGGCCCCCCAATATGTCTATCAATCAATCAGTCTGTCCCCTCAGAGCCGCTACCCAAAAGTAAAGCCATAAAGCAGTACTGCGGCACAACAAAACGGTTACAAAGTAGATCTGTACGTGGGAGGGTGATATGTGGCGATGGCTTTGGTACTGTCCGTAAGTGTTTCCTATATGATTACATTAAACACAAAAATTATATCTAAAGACTGACATTTTTTTAAATGATGATGTCATTTTCTGTTTTCACCGAACAGAAAGCACAGAATTCTCTGCACTGTTAATGGTTCAGTGAATACTTCCCTTCATAAATTGACTGCTACACCCTTTTTGTTGTTTTAATGACTGAGGTCAGAAGGTCACATGAAACAATGTTCTCAGGTATTCATAGATTCCGGGGCAAACAGGTTAAGTAACCAATGTTTTGGTTTCAAAAGTTAAGGTTAGCAACTCTACAGGACAGGGTTAAGTAACCAATGTTTTGGTTTCAAAAGTTAAGGTTAGCAGCTCTACAGGACTGGAGGAGGCTGCAAGTTTAATGAACCGTTTCTTTGCCAGTGAAGCTCAAACAGACAAAACTAGTGAAAAGCATGGTCAGTCCTAGCAAAATCTTGAAGCTCACACATGCACAGTAAATGCATAGGGCAGCCATCAGAGCACTAACAGTCTGACACCAGAAATGCAGCTTACGATGCAAGGAGTCATTTAAGAAAGCTAGTACTGTCCCATTCTCCTGATATCTTAGGCCCTTATATATATTTCACTAGTTACGTGAACGAAGTCAATAGCCTAGATGTATCTGTCAGTTCTGTGAGACTAACAATCGTGGCATTCAGATAGGAAAACTATAGCATAGACCAGGGCTATTCAACTGACAACACACTATACTGATGTTCGGGTCTCTAGCCCATGACAGATCCCTCTATACTGATGTTCGGGTCTCTAGCCCATGACAGATCCCTCTATACTGATGTTCGGGTCTCTAGCCCATGACAGATCCCTTTATACTGATGTTCGGGTCTCTAGCCCATGACAGATCCTTCTATAATGATGTTCGGGTCTCTAGCCCATGACAGATCCTTCTATAATGATGTTCAGGTCTCTAACCCATGACAGATCCCTCTATACTGATGTTCAGGTCTCTAGCCCATGACAGATCCTTCTATAATGATGTTCGGGTCTCTAGCCCATGACAATCTCAACTGTCAATATTTTGACCCCTGAGTTGAATGAACAGCCCTGGTATAGACAGTACTAAATAAGGAATACCGGGAACCCAAAGATGTAACAGTTATGTCCTCCCTGTGTGGGTCTCACAAGACTGCCTCCCAAACAAGCATGCTGTAGGAGTTGACTGGGAGCTTGTTTCAAGTCAGAGTGCCAGATCTGTCAAACAGATGTGTATGCATCACTCAGGTTGTGGACAAAGACTCAAGTCTGGAGGTAGACAAACAACCTGAACATTGTGCCTGAGTTTACAACTGGTTAACACAAAGAAGAAAGTAGAACAGTGCATCCTTTGCTGGTTAAAAAGACTTCGCATATATCTGGTGTGTCTCTGGTGCCTGGCTGAGCCAATCTTTACTCCAAAAATCCTTCAATTGTTATCTTTCTATCTCTAAGGGCATTAACTATGTCAGCTTAATCTACAGGCTGGCAACTACTGCAGAGCCAGCCCTTCTCTCTGCCCTTTCACTGCTAACAACACACACATCTCTAAGGACAAATATAACTACTATAATGTAGAGACAGGACATCTGTCATTACTGATAACTCCCATAATTAGAATATATATATTTTGTACAGTTCTCAATGTCACAACATATTTACGAAGTCAAAAAACAAGAAAAACATCCACACACATACATTATTTAGACAGATATATGTTGAAAATGTACAGTGAAAAATATGATAAATGCTGACATATTTTGTTTTCAGTTTGTCAATATACAAGTTTAAAAATTAGCTGATAGTTGATTTCGTGAGGCAATGAATGATGGATGATGATAGTGAGGTTGGGGCACAGGCTGTGTGTCTCTGTGTCTGTCACTTTGTCAGGCTCACATCTCTGGAAACTGACCCTGCATCTTCACCTGGATTGAACTCATCTGCAACAGAGAGGAGACATGATTTGATAAGCCTATGTACACACGTACTAATTAATTATGACAGTGTGGAGAAATGGCTGTATATTTTCTGTGTACACACATGTACTAATAAATGACAACAGTGTAAAGAAATGGCTATATATTTTCTGTGTATACATATGTACTAATAAATTATAACAGTGAAGAGAAATGGCTGTATATTTTGATAATAAATGACAGTGGGCTATAGAAATAGTACTATACTTTGTGTGTGTGTGTGTGTGTGTGTGTGTGTGTACAAAAAGAGATAGGACTCCAGTCTTTAACTTACATCTATTCTTCTTAATACTTAAGTGACAACAAACAACAGTGAAATAAGAATAGTGACAAAACAACAGTGACAAAAAATAAGGTGGCAGTGTGGAAAGAGCCGTGACATAGCGAAGTATAAATCACCAAACATTACTGCTGTGTGGATAAGAAACCTGAGTAATATCAATAATTATTGATAAACAGTCAACTGTGTATGGCCTCACAAGACAGATGCATACAGATGTTCTGATAGCCTCATCAATACAGAGCTGATAAACAGTCAACTGTGTATGGCCTAACAAGACAGATGCATACAGATGTTCTGATAGCCTCATCAATACAGAGCTGATAAACAGTCAACTGTGTATGGCCTAACAAGACAGATGCATACAGATGTTCTGATAGCCTCATCAATACAGAGATGATAAAGAGAACTAAAATAGAAGAGGAAAAATCTATTAATAGTATAACTAGAATATCCTTCTTCTGGAACTCACATAGCAAACAAAAATGGGGGACCTAAAATAAAACATAAATAAGCATAAGAAGAAAATAAAACATATAAATAAGCATAAGAAGCCTTTAAAAGGAGATCTAAAGAGCAGCAGAAGGCACCAAAGGATAGGAGGGTTGCTAGCAGCTGGCTTACGGTTATTGTTAAAAAAAAATGCCACAAGAAGAAAACAAATGATCTACAAAATGTTCTTGCCCACTTGCAACAAAGAAACAAAATATGTTGAGTTCTCACCACCACATGCACACATCGACATACAAAACATTTCACTCACTGGCTGCTTTAAAAACCGCAGCCACGTCGCCTTCGCCGAAGCCCATCCTTCTGGCTTTCTTGAACAACTCGTTGGCAGCGGCCGCCAAATGTAAGGGCTGCTCCACACTGTCCCCGAGGCCCAGCACGAGGCGCAGGTCTTTCTGTTGGTGCTGCAGGGGAAAATGGGGGTCAAAGCGTCCATTCAGGATTGCTGGAAGAGAGAAGATGTTGCTGCAGTATTAGTATCACGTGAACATTCTTGTGGGGTGGCACTGAAAGACTCAACTAAAGGACAAACTGGCTACAGTAAAGATTTAGCATAACATTTGATCTGTGACAGGACTCAATATGATTCATGTACAGTTAACTAAAACCCAGCTTTACTGTCTGAACTCTTCTGATACCAGAGGTCAGTTAAACCAATTATTAATCAAGACGTGTTTTAGGTCATAAATGACAAGGTCTGCCGGAAAATCCCCTGCACACTGGCAACTGTGAGACAGCCCTAGACCAAGAGATTTGCTCGCTGCTTGGATGAGCACATCTTGTGTGGGCGGTCTCCATGCACCTTCGTCGACCTTCAACATCATCAGCAGCGCACTGAGGTACACCATGACAACCTCACACTGTCAATCAGCCAATCAGGCACAAATTTACCAAGTCTTACACGTCTGACCCTCCAAAGGCCTACAATTTGGCAGAAAGGTTCAGTTAGTTAACTGAAGCCCTACTGGTCAGAGTGTCAGGATTAAAGAAGGAAAGAAATGCCTGAGGCATGCTTGTCCAGACAGTTGTGCCAAGTGTGAATCAATGTCAAAGGTGTCTAGCATACTGACCAAGAATGTAGCTATATGTGTGGTCATCCAATCATTGACATGCTGACTAAGAATGTACCTATATGTGTGGTCATCCAATCATTGACATGCTGACTAAGAATGTACCTATACATGTGGTCATCCAATCATTGACATGCTGACTAAGAATGTAGCTATACATGTGGTCATCCAATCGCAGACATGCTGACTAAGAATGTAGCTATACATGTGGTCATCCAATCGCAGACATGCTGACTAAGAATGTAGCTATTTGTGTGGTCATCCAATCATTGACATGCTGACTAAGAATGTAGCTATATGTGTGGTCATCCAATCATTGACATGCTGACTAAGAATGTACCTATACGTGTGGTCATCCAATCATTGACATGCTGACTAAGAATGTACCTATACGTGTGGTCATCCAATCATTGACATGCTGACTAAGAATGTAGCTATACATGTGGTCATCCAATCGCAGACATGCTGACTAAGAATGTAGCTATATGTGTGGTCATCCAATCATTGACATGCTGACTAAGAATGTAGCTATACATGTGGTCATCCAATCGCAGACATGCTGACTAAGAATGTAGCTATATGTGTGGTCATCCAATCGCAGACATGCTGACTAAGAATGTACCTATATGTGTGGTCATCCAATCATTGACATGATGACTAAGAATGTAGCTATATGTGTGGTCATCCAATCATTGACATGCTGACTAAGAATGTAGCTATACATGTGGTCATCCAATCGCAGACATGCTGACTAAGAATGTAGCTATATGTGTGGTCATCCAATCATTGACATGCTGACTAAGAATGTACCTATATGTGTGGTCATCCAATCGCAGACATGATGACTTAGAATGTACCTATATGTGTGGTCATCCAATTGCAGACATGATGACTAAGAATGTACCTATATGTGTGGTCATCCAATCATTGACATGCTGACTAAGAATGTACCTATACGTGTGGTCATCCAATCATTGACATGCTGACTAAGAATGTAGCTATACATGTGGTCATCCAATCGCAGACATGCTGACTAAGAATGTAGCTATATGTGTGGTCATCCAATCATTGACATGCTGACTAAGAATGTAGCTATACATGTGGTCATCCAATCGCAGACATGCTGACTAAGAATGTAGCTATACATGTGGTCATCCAATCGTAGACATGCTGACTAAGAATGTAGCTATATGTGTGGTCATCCAATCATTGACATGCTGACTAAGAATGTAGCTATACATGTGGTCATCCAATCGCGGACATGATGACTAAGAATGTAGCTATATGTGTGGTCATCCAATCATTGACATGCTGACTAAGAATGTAGCTATACATGTGGTCATCCAATCGCAGACATGCTGACTAAGAATGTAGCTATATGTGTGGTCATCCAATCATTGACATGCTGACTAAGAATGTAGCTATACATGTGGTCATCCAATCGCAGACATGCTGACTAAGAATGTAGCTATACATGTGGTCATCCAATCGCAGACATGCTGACTAAGAATGTAGCTATATGTGTGGTCATCCAATCATTGACATGCTGACTAAGAATGTAGCTATACATGTGGTCATCCAATCGCAGACATGCTGACTAAGAATGTAGCTATATGTGTGGTCATCCAATCATTGACATGCTGACTAAGAATGTACCTATATGTGTGGTCATCCAATCGCAGACATGATGACTTAGAATGTACCTATATGTGTGGTCATCCAATTGCAGACATGATGACTAAGAATGTACCTATATGTGTGGTCATCCAATCATTGACATGCTGACTAAGAATGTACCTATACGTGTGGTCATCCAATCATTGACATGCTGACTAAGAATGTAGCTATACATGTGGTCATCCAATCGCAGACATGCTGACTAAGAATGTAGCTATACATGTGGTCATCCAATCATTGACATGCTGACTAAGAATGTAGCTATACATGTGGTCATCCAATCATTGACATGCTGACTAAGAATGTAGCTATACATGTGGTCATCCAATCATTGACATGCTGACTAAGAATGTAGCTATATGTGTGGTCATCCAATCATTGACATGCTGACTAAGAATTTAGCTATATGTGTGGTCATCCAATCATTGACATGCTGACTAAGAATGTAGCTATATGTGTGGTCATCCAATCATTGACATGCTGACTAAGAATGTAGCTATATGTGTGGTCATCCAATCATTGACATGCTGACTAAGAATGTAGCTATATGTGTGGTCATCCAATCATTGACATGCTGACTAAGAATGTAGCTATATGTGTGGTCATCCAATCATTGACATGCTGACTAAGAATGTACCTATGTGTGGTCATCCAATCATTGACATGCTGACTAAGAATGTAGCTATACATGTGGTCATCCAATCATTGACATGCTGACTAAGAATGTAGCTATACATGTGGTCATCCAATCATTGACATGCTGACTAAGAATGTAGCTATATGTGTGGTCATCCAATCATTGACATGCTGACTAAGAATGTAGCTATACATGTGGTCATCCAATCGCAGACATGCTGACTAAGAATGTAGCTATACATGTGGTCATCCAATCGCAGACATGCTGACTAAGAATGTAGCTATATGTGTGGTCATCCAATTGCAGACATGCTGACCAAGAATGTAGCTATACATGTAGTCATCCAATCGCAGACATGCTGACCAAGAATGTAGCTATACGTGTGGTCATCCAATCGCGGGCATGCTGGATTCTCCTTGCTGGTCTTTGGTGGGTGCAGCCAATGACAAGTGAAAAGCTCAACATATGGATGTGAGGTCAAGCAGCCATGTGGAGGATGGGAGGTCAAGCAGCCATGTGGAGGATGTGAGGTAAGCAGCCATGTGGAGGATGTGAGGTCAAGCAGCCATGTGGAGGATGTGAGGTCAAGCAGCCATGTGGAGGATGTGAGGTCAAGCAGCCATGTGGAGGAAGTGAGGTCAAGCAGCCATGTGGAGGATGGGAGGTCAAGCAGCCATGTGGAGGAAGTGAGGTCAAGCAGCCATGTGGAGGATGGGAGGTCAAGCAGCCATGTGGAGGATGTGAGGTAAGCAGCCATGTGGAGGATGTGAGGTCAAGCAGCCATGTGGAGGATGTGAGGTCAAGCAGCCATGTGGAGGATGTGAGGTCAAGCAGCCATGTGGAGGATGTGACGATTCCTTGGGTGAGCAGCCATGTGGAGGAAGTGACGATTCCTTGGGTGAGCAGCCATGTGGAGGAAGTGACGATTCCTTGGGTGAGCAGCCATGTGGAGGAAGTGACAATTCCTTGGGTGAGCCCAGGACCAAAGCACCATGTGTCGACTCTGCATTTATGGAAGCCTCCTTGAATGGAAAGGGGGGGGGGGGTGAATGCCCATAATCTGCTGCTGTCTTTCCTTGACGGCTGACCAGTATACATGTGTTACCCTGGACAGGTTCTCCAGGGGCAAAGAGAACACCACACAAATAAGGCCACATTATGTCCCATGAAACTATCCCGAAGTTAACAGAGTCAACAATAAATGCTTAATGAAGTCATTGAAGGTTTTTGCCATTGAAGTCGTACGTGTAGGCCGAAAGGCACAAATTCTTTGCTCAAACAGGCACAACACAATTATATAAAATGGTGAAAATGTGGGGGTGACTGCAGTCAAGCTAATACAAAGAATTCCAAAGAATTTTGACTAAACATGTTTTGTGCACGTTTTTCTGCTTCCCCATTTTGATAAGCCTTTTTGTCAAATTTTCTTGGAAATCCATACAATTATATAACCATAAACCAAAAGAAGAAGTTGCCTTTTACAACAAATATGCTTGTTAGGTGGGAAGTGGCTCTACCCCCTCCCTCCTTCCCTAACTGGGTCCCAGAACCCACAGGGATCTCACCTATCAGACAGAAGCTCTCTGACTCCAAAGAAAAAATCTGCCATTAACTGCCGTTTATGACATGTTTTTGGGGGTGGGGCCAGAACCCACAAGTGATAAAAATCTCTCTCACAAAACCCAGGGCACGGTTACAAGAGTCCAAGGCCTCTCACACAAAACCCAGGGTTCGGTTACATGAGTCCAAGGCCTCTCACACAAAACCCAGGGCACGGTTACATGAGTCTAAGGCCTCTCACACAAAACCCAGGGCACGGTTACATGAGTCCAAGGCCTCTCACACAAAACCCAGGGCACGGTTACATGAGTCCAAGGCCTCTCACACAAAATCCAGGGCACGGTTACATGAGTCCAAGGCCTCTCACACAAAAACTCCAGCCTGGTTACATGAGTCCAAGGCCTCTCACACAAAAACCAGGGCACGGTTACATGAGCCCAAGGCCTCTCACACAAAATCTAGGGCACGGTTACATGAGTCCAAGGCCTCTCACACAAAACCCAGGGCACGGTTACATGAGTCCAAGGCCTCTCACACAAAAACCAGGGCACGGTTACATGAGCCCAAGGCCTCTCACACAAAAACCAGGGCACGGTTACATGAGTCCAAGGCCTCTCACACAAAAACCAGGGCACGGTTACATGAGCCAAAGGCCTCTCACACAAAAACTCCGGCCTGGTTACATGAGTCCAAGGCCTCTTACCTTGACATTTATGGTTGATGGTACGACAAGACAAGGACCCCAGGGACAGAACCTCAGAGAAATCCTCCAGGTCGATGCCAACCTTCTCTGCCAGCGCCATGCCCTCCCCCAAACTGGCCACCATGTTGCCAAGTATCATGTTGTGGATGAGCTTCATGCGTGTTGCCGTGCCAACCTCATCTGCAAAGGGACAGTAATCACATAATTAATAAACCTTTATCATCAGCGCCTTTGGTTTAGGGGTTGCGAACAAGCCTCACAATGCCGGGTTCAATCCCCACTGCGGACAGTTTGTCTCGCGTTGGTTTCAACAGTGGTACAGAGAGTTGATCGTTAAGAAAGCAATGGCAAACTACTAAATGTTAAAATTTGTCAAGAAAAACCACAACAGCCCAAAAAATTGTGGGGTTGGTTCTGCAATGTCATGCAAAGGATACGCAACTAACTTTTTATCATGAACATAGTTTTTGAATACTGTGGGTCCTTAGGTCACCAGCTGCTGTTGATAGTCTGATAATTTTCTCCGCTTCTGTCAGATGCGACAGATTTGATGTTTGCGATCTGTTAGATAAATTCTGTATCCAGGTGTTAGTTTGCTTCTTCTCTCCTTCAGAGCACTACAGAGAGGCCCGTAGATCTTGTTACATGTGAAACCAATAGGGGCTGTACAAGATGAAGTGAAGAAGCAATGCTCACAACAGATCTTCCAACAGCCCATGCAGGTTACTCACTGACTGACTGACTCACTGACCCTGGTAATCTACAAGGTTGCTGAAGGTTGAGATGCTCAGACATGAGGAGATGAAGAGCAAGGGGAGACTATCACATTTTCTATCCCCTGAAACTAAACGGAAGCTGAATAGGAATTTCATGTAGCATGAACCAGGAACAATACAAACACAGACATCGGACATGATCAGAGCACCACATACAAACACAGACATCGGACATGATCGGAGAACGACATACAAACACAGACATCCAACATGATCAGAGCACCACATACAAACACAGACATCGGACATGATCAGAGCACCACATACAAACACAGACATCCGACATGATCAGAGAACGACATACAAACACAGACATCCAACATGATCAGAGCACCACATACAAACACAGACATCCAACATGATCAGAGCACCACATACAAACACAGACATCCGACATGATCAGAGCACCACATACAAACACAGACATCCGACATGATCAGAGAACGACATACAAACACAGACATCCAACATGATCAGAGCACCACATACAAACACAGACATCCAACATGATCAGAGCACCACATACAAACACAGACATCCGACATGATCAAAGCACCACATACAAACACAGACATCCGACATGATCAGAGCACCACATACAAACACAGACATCGGACATGATCAGAGCACCACATACAAACACAGACATCCGACATGATCAGAGAACGACATACAAACACAGACATCCGACATGATCAGAGCACCACATACAAACACAGACATCCGACATGATCAGAGCACCAAGGAGAGTTGGCTCATAAACAGCATCGTGTCATTAAGACTGAGCTAATGTTAAAAGAGCTAATGTTAAAACATCAGCTGCTGGTGGTCTGGACAGATCTGTCTTAGAGGTGCAGTTTTCAGAGGCAGAGGCAGACCTCCGCTAAGTGGATACATGACACTGAATATGCACCGGCTATAAAAGCACATAGGGCCGGAGAAAGAGAGACTTAGGTGAATCATGACAAAAGGCGTAGTTGACTGATGACGATGCTAGCCCATGCCAAGTGGTGCCGGTAATCACGCTTATTCTCAGCATTCCGTATCTTGCACTGTCAGTTAACATTTGATACAGACTGTCATCCATGGCTCGACAAACTGTCTTCTGATTTTCTTCTTCTTTTACCTCAGTTTCTTAAGACAGTCACTGAGAATTATTAGGGTGCGGTTCCTAACTAAATCTGGACTAAGGTAAACAGAATTTCAAAAACCCCCTTGCCCCATAAATGCTTAAACATAAATGTTGGGGGGGGGGGGGGGGGGGGGGAGAAGAGGGGCATCCTGTGGGAATTTCTCAGGGGTGCTTCCATCTATACAAAATGTGGGGCATCCAGTGGGATTTTCTAGGGAAAAATTCCATCTATAAAAACGTGGGGGCATCCAGTGGGATTTTCTAGGGAAAAATTCCATCTATAAAAACGTGGGGGCACCCAGTGGGATTTTCTAGGGAAAAATTCCATCTATAAAAATGTGGGGGCACCCAGTGGGATTTTCTAGGGAAAAATTCCATCTATAAAAACGTGGGGGCACCCAGTGGGATTTTCTAGGGAAAAATTCTATCTATAAAAACGTGGGGGCACCCAGTGGGATTTTCTAGGGAAAAATTCCATCTATAAAAACGTGGGGGCACCCAGTGGGAATTTCTAGGGAAAAATTCCATCTATAAAAACGTGGGGGCACCCAGTGGGAATTTCTAGGGAAAAATTCCATCTATAAAAACGTGGGGGCATCCAGTGGGAATTTCTAGGGAAAAATTCCATCTATAAAAACGTGGGGGCACCCAGTGGGAATTTCTAGGGAAAAGTTTCATCTATAAAAAAAAAACTAAAAAAAAAGAAGAAAAAACTTCTTTACACAGGAAGCTAAAAAATTGAAAAATTGATTTATCTACATTTGTTTAAATTTGTGCTTCAAAACATCAACAGATATAAACAGGGAGGATATATACATGAACACAGTCAAGCTTTCAGTGGAAGGTATTGCCCAGGGCCTAAAAAACAAATGTATCAGGTGACTTTTGCTGTGACCTCATTCAATGAGGCTTACAGACAATGTTTCAGTAAACTTAGCTGGAAAAAAGCTATTGGATTTACAAGCAGCCCTTCTACGTTTATATATTTAAAAAAGCTATTGAATTTACAAGCAGCCCTTTGTTTAGTTAATATATTCATATCCGGGTCTAATAAACACTATACAGGCGCACAGAGACCCAATGGGATTCAACTGCGCTTTGCGAGAAGAAGTCGCTGAAGAAATAGCGATATATCGGCATTCATGGGGCTGTGACAGAACCGGAAGTGAACAGATGTAGTCTTTCCGGTGCGATGGCTAAAAAAAAATTCTTTTGGTACGTAATGTTGTGGTATACAGCTTGACTGTGATATCTGTGCATTTTAATTTCAGTAAATCTGTAACCTGTCACCTCCCAACAACGTGTGTTTAAGCAGCTGTGGGTTGGTCTATTCCCTCTCACCTCCACACAAAATGGGGCCCTGAAAACAACATAAGGAAGAAAGAACGAGGACGAGCATCTGAGGAATGCCATGGCTGATGACAATAAACATCAAACAACTTACTGCCGAGATAAAACGACTTCTTGCCCATGGCCTCGAAACAAGAGTAGCAATCATCGAAGAGCTTCCTGTCTCCGGAACACAAGATGAGTAACTGCCCCTCCAAGGCTGGCACTCGGCTTCCACAAACTGGGGCTTCCAGAAATGCTCCACCCCTGGCCATGATTGCCTGTGGACACAAGCCACATGGTATATCACACAATTATGTTCACATCCTTTTTCTTCTTCGCCTTCATCAGCTGTAAACTCTGGCACTATGTTCTCGTTATGCATCCACTTCTCGACTGTAATCTTGTTCCTGAGTTCTGCCAGCACATCCCTTTTAAAAGATCTGGCTTCCTATTATGCAGACTGTTGGTCTCTGGCCTCAGGCAGAAGCATCCTGAATTAGTCTGCTCTTATGACGTACCTTTTGGGGGCAATGGGTCCTTGTTCTCCCCCATTATGATGGGGTCCCAAAACACAGGTGCTATGTTCATAACATACAGCCTATTGTCTTTAACCCCTAGGGACCTGAGGCATCTTGTAACACTCCCTCCCCTCACATACTCAGATCAAAGCATTCATTTTTCATATGGGTTTGAGTTGTGGACTGTCTCACAATCAATAACAAAGAAAACAAAGGGATGTGAGCATTAATGCTAACAAAAGATTCACATAATACCATGAATCAAGAAGACAGGGAATATTGATATCCGAAAAGATATGAAATGAACATCAAGAAAAATTGGCTAATAAACATCATCTTGTCTGGGAACATGAAATACTTTGGCCACATCAAATGCCACGGTGGCGTGGAAAGAATGGAAGCCAAGAGTAGCAGCTAAGCAGAGGTAAGGCCAGCATGAAGACAGGCACAGGCCACAAGAGACAAATTAGGCAGGAGAATGCATGAGGTGGGACAGCTGTGAGGGATGAGTTCCTTCAGGCAGGCTGATGGGAACAGCATTCTGTACACAGGTCTGCTACCTGCTACATGATGATGGCCTTGGAGTGCAGCAGTGTCTTACTGCTGAATGTTACACACCATGTCCTCTTTGGAACACTGTACATGAGAGAGAGAGAGAGAGTGAGAGGGAGAGGGGGGGGGGAGAGAAGAGAAAGAGAGAGAAGGGAGAGATAGAGATAATGAATGAATAATATTTTTAAAGGGTAACAATCTGGGCGCACAGGGCCGTCTTATATTCAGCCCTCAAACACCAATCTTTCACATAGCAATTGTATTTTACAAATAAAGCATGTTATGTTTATGTAATAATTTGCACATTATGAATATCAAGAAAATACATAAAAGCATGGGTAGTAAAATGCATGCACTACTTGCGCACGCACAGCTAATTACATACACACATAGATATATACAGGCATGCATGCATACAGACATACAAATGTACAGAGACACACACACCCAAATGCAGGCAAACACACACAGAAAGAGAGACAGAGAGAGATGTTTTACAAAATGTATATGTTTGGAGATTACGCGTATATAATAATGCCACTTCTGTGACCGAAGAAAAATATCAAGGAAAGTCGTGCAAGGACAAAACAAGACAAGGAAAGTTGTGCAAGGACAAAACAAGACAAAGAAAGTCGTGCAAGGACAAAACAAGATAAGGAAAGTCCTGCAAGGACAAAACAAGGCAAGGAAAGTCGTGCAAGGACAAAACAAGACAAGGAAAGTCCTGCAAGGACAAAACAAGGCAAGGAAAATCGTGCAAGGACAAAACAAGACAAGGAAAGTCCTGCAAGGACAAAACAAGACAAGGAAAGTCGTGTAAGGACAAAACAAGACAAGGAAAGTCGTGCAAGGACAAAACAAGACAAGGAAAGTCGTGCAAGGACAAAACAAGACAAGGAAAGTCCTGCAGGGACAAAACAAGACAAGGAAAGTCGTGCAAGGACAAAACAAGACAAGGAAAGTCCTGCAAGGACAAAACAAGACAAGGAAAGTCCTGCAAGGACAAAACAAGACAAGGAAAGTCGTGCAAGGACAAAACAAGACAAGGAAAGTCGTGCAAGGACAAAACAAGACAAAGAAAGTCGTGAAAGGACAAAACAAGATAAGGAAAGTCCTGCAAGGACAAAACAAGGCAAGGAAAGTCGTGCAAGGACAAAACAAGACAAGGAAAGTCCTGCAAGGACAAAACAAGACAAGGAAAGTCGTGTAAGGACAAAACAAGACAAGGAAAGTCGTGCAAGGACAAAACAAGACAAGGAAAGTCCTGCAGGGACAAAACAAGACAAGGAAAGTCGTGCAAGGACAAAACAAGACAAGGAAAGTCCTGCAAGGACAAAACAAGACAAGGAAAGTCCTGCAAGGACAAAACAAGACAAGGAAAGAATGAGACTCACATCTGCTACATCCTGCACTGTCTCCTCGTCCACTGTTGACATCTCCACATAACACTTGCCTTTTGATATCCCGTCGAGGACTCCCATGTTTCCAAACATGATCTGTGGAGACAAAATATGTCAACTGCAGTCCCTGCCCTAGCCTGATGTTGATAGCTACAGATAAATGTTAATGGGCTCTTCCAGTCAATAACTGTCTCAAAACTTTGTGTGGTACTTCCTGTGATTGGGCCATTGCAGTTGACAAGTGCTTCAAAAACCAATCTTTGGTAATGGTTGGGGAGACAATTGTAAGGGTTTATTAAATGAGTTATCCAACTATTTTAACCCATGTAGTGCCTTTTTATAAAAAGATTTTTTGACAAAACTTCTTGTCTACTCCTCCCCCCCCCCCATTAAATTCACACCCCCCCCCCACTCCTGACCCCTGAAAAGTACACGAGGGGCCCTTAAAGCTACAAGAAGCACTGGCTGGGAACTACTGACCTAAAGCAAGGTCAGTGATCTCTACTGATCTGAACAGCTAGGCAACAGACTTACACAAGTGTAACGGCTAGAGGCCCCCAAACACAACTGGATAAACAAGAAGCCCCACAAAATTATCTGGGTATTTTATTCTCACATTTGGGATGCATAGGCCTGAGAGGCGAGGAACCAACAGGCTGCAAAAAATTAAGCCAGATCTGTAAAACGGATGATATAACATTCAAGTTTTGGGACCTCATTTCACATGATCTCATCTGGTTTGCAGCCTTTCTCAAACATCTCATTTCTGACATGATCTCATCTGGTTTGTTTGGAGCCTCTGTCAAACATCTCATTTCACATGATATCATCTGGTTTGTTTGCAGCCTCTCTCAAACATCTCATTTCACTAATCTCATCTGGTTTGTTTGCAGCCTCTTTCAAACATCTCATTTCACACATAATCTCATCTGGTTTGTTTGCAACCTCTCTCAAACATCTCATTTCACATGATCTCATCTGGTTTGTTTGGAGCCTCTCTCAAACATCTCATTTCTGACATGATCTCATCTGGTTTGTTTCCAGCCTCTCTCAAACATCTCATTTCTGACATGATCTCATCTGGTTTGTTTGCAACCTCTGTCAAACATCTCATTTCACTTGATCTCATCTGGTTTGTTTGCAGCCTTTCTCAAACATCTCATTTCACATGATCTCATCTGGTTTGTTTGGAGCCTCTCTCAAACATCTCATTTCACATGATCTCATCTGGTTTGTTTGCAACCTCTCTTAAACATCTCATTTCACACATAATCTCATCTGGTTTGTTTGGAGCCTCTCTCAAACATCTCATTTCACATGATCTCATCTGGTTTGTTTGCAACCTCTCTTAAACATCTCATTTCACACATAATCTCATCTGGTTTGTTTGCAGCCTCTCTCAAACATCTCATTTCACATGATCTCATCTGGTTTGTTTGCAACCTCTCTTAAACATCTCATTTCACACATAATCTCATCTGGTTTGTTTGCAGCCTCTCTCAAACATCTCATTTCTGACATGATCTCATCTGGTTTGTTTGCAACCTCTGTCAAACATCTCATTTCACATGATCTCATCTGGTTTGTTTGCAGCCATTCTCAAACATCTCATGTACTCCACTGGGGAAAAAGAAGATAGAAATGTTTTATGTGGACCAATGATGAAGTTCTCTTACGTCTCTGACGGCTGTAGAGTCTGCCACACAGGTGAATGTGATGTCACATGACTGCACAACGTCTGCAGGGTTGTTGCCTTTCAGGGCTCCAGCTTTTACAAACTCCCGACACTGTAAACATAATGATATGGTTAGAAAAACACAAACTCTTGATACTGCAAACATAATGATATGGTTAGATAAACACAAACTCCCGACACTGCAAACATAATGATATGGTTAGATAAACACAAACTCCTGATTCTGCAAACGTAATGACGCGGTTATACAAACACAAACTCCTGAAACTGCAAACATAATGATACGGTAATACAAAGGCAAACTCCTGATACAGTAAACATAATGGCACGGTTATACAAACTCCTGATACTGCAAACATAATGATACGGTAATACAAAGACAAACTCCTGATACAGTAAACATAATGGCACGGTTATACAAACTCCTGCCACTGCAAACATAATTATATGGTTATTAAAACAAATACATCAGTCACACATAAGCACTGTAATATTTTGCCCATCTTTGTTGTTTCAACTTGTGCCCTAAAATACCAGACAGTCACCAAAATCTGGTTCCCATCGCTCCAATCAAGGCATTAGTTAAGTAATTCTTATGGTACCTGTAAGACACTCCAGTGTTCCTACCCCATCTGTAAAACATCTGTATCCCCCCCCCCCAATCCTACATGTAAGACATTGGCATGTCCTCATCCCACGTGTATGACATTTGTGCGTTTTGTCTGCTGTGGCAAACTGATTCACTAACAGCCCCGCCCCTCCCTCACGTCTCTCACACACACACAATGTTTCTTGTTGACTCCCTCATGTCTCTCACACATACAATGTTCCTGGTTGACTCCCTCACATCTCTCACACATACAATGTTCCTGGTTGACTCCCTCACATCTCTCACACACACACAATGTTCCTTGTTGACTCCCTCATGTCTCTCACACATACAATGTTCCTTGTTGACTCTCTCACGTCTCTCACACATACAATGTTCCTTGTTGACTCCCTCACGTCTCTCACACACACACACATACAATGTTCCTTGTTGACTCCCTCACGTCTCTCACACACACAATGCAAGGAGAACCAGAAATGGTTGGTGTAGAGAAAACAGAGTAATCCTACCTTTGTAGCAGTCCTGTTCCACACGGTGACCTCGTGGCCTGACCTCAGCAAGTTCATCACCATGCCCTGGCCCATAATCCCAAGCCCCAGGAAGCCGATGCGGAGTGGTGTGGGAATGACAGTTTTACTGCTGATCTGAATACAAATATATCAACAATTCAATACACCAACAGTACAATATAAAAACACATCCAAAACAAAACTCAAATAAGAGAATGACAAGTACACAGGGACGGACCGTAGCCAAATTCACAAATTTCTTTAAGGGTTTTCCAAATATTTTTGCCTGTCCAAAGGTGCACTGGGCATATGTGGTACTTTTTTCCTGGGCACACATGTGGGTATACACACACATACAGTGTTTTGACATCTTTTCTAGACCTGGTGGGGAGCAAATTGAAGACCTCTGTTCTAGACCTTCTACCTGAAAAAAAAAAGGGGGGGGGGGGGAGAGAGAGAGAGAGAATGGACAGGTAGAGAGGGCGACATAAGTAGAGAGAAACGTAGAAAAAAGGGGGAGGGGGGGGAGAGAGAATGGACAGAGAGGGCGACATAAGTAGAAAGAAACGTAGAAAAAAAGGGGGGGGGGGAAAGAGAGAATGGACAGGTAGAGAGGGCGACATAAGTAGAAAGAAACATAGAAAAAAAGGGGGGGGGGAAGAGAGAATGGACAGGTAGAGAGGGCGAAATAAGTAGAAAGAAACGTAGAAAAAAGGGGGGAGGGGGGAGAGAGAATGGACAGGTAGAGAGGGCGACATAAGTAGAAAGAAACGTAGAAAAAAAAGGGGGAAGAGATGAATTTGGCATCACAGAGAGATAAACAGACAGAGAGAAACAGAGGGAGGGAACGAGGCAGAGCAAGAGAATTGAAGAGGGGCAAGAGACACAGAAAGCGGGAAAGAGAAGACAGGTAGAAATACAAGTAGATGAAATGGGAAGAAAAGAAACAGAGATGGGGGGGGGGGGGGGGGGGGGGGGGGGGACGCAAAGAGAGTGAGAGATGCTAGGAGGGAGATAAAGGGAGAGAGAAGGGAAATGCAGAAAAGGAGATGCAAACAGAGAGATGCAGACAAAAAAGAGAGACAGATATGGCAGTACACAGAGGTAAACAGATGGAGAGAAACAGAGAGAAAAAGGAAGAGAAAGAGAAGGCAGGGAGGTAGACAGAGAGAGAGGAAGGCAGTGACCAACAGACAGGCAGCAAATGTAGTGCACATGACAAAAAAAAGGAGGCGGGGAAGATAAAGAAAAACATGGCAAGGAAGAAGAGAGAAGAGTGTAAGGAAAGGCACAGAGAAGGAGAGGAGGACAGATAATGAAAAACATGGCGAGGAAAGAGGACAGTGTAAGGAAATACACTGAGATGGAGACGAAGACACTAGATGGAAGAAAAAAGGAGACAGGAAGAATAGAGGGGACTTGAGGCAGAAGCGTGAAAGAGGGAGAAGGAAAAAGATAAGCGCTGCCCAAAAAATAGAATTGGGAAATCGAGCTGACCTCACTTGCCCAGCCCCACCATCTCCCAATGTAATCCTACCAGAAATAATCACATGGCAGGCAACCACTCCCACCCACCCTATGAATGGCTGTCAGCAGTATCCCCCAACTGCAATACAACTCGCTTCCCTCGCCTCTTTTCAGATGAAAAACGGCATTTAGGCACGATGCAAATATAGGTCTATGTACTATATGTGTACATGTGATTAAGTCTCTCCACACCTAACCGGCAAAACAAAATACTGGACAGACCATCCAGTGCCCGCTTAACGGAAACGACCGTAGACATTTAAAACAAAGGTCACTGAAAATAGCCAAATGGTTGAAAATAGCTTAACTGCTAAATATCACAGATAGTTCATTTCACTTTCGCTTCTCCTACAGACACAGGCAGACGGAACAAATGCATCAAACAAAGACCTACAGACACAGGCAGACAGAACAAATGGATCACACAAAGACCTACAGACACAGGCAGACGGAACAAATGGATCAAACAAAGGCCTACAGACACAGGCAGACGGAACAAATGGATCAAACAAAGGCCTACAGGCACAGGCAGACGGAACAAATGGATCAAACAAAGACCTACAGGCAAAAATAGACGGAACAAATGGATCAAACAAAGACCTAAAGACACAGGCAGATGGAACAAACCTTCTCCTCAGACTCCACCTCGTCATACTCCTCCAGCTTGGTGCTGACAGAGATGTCGGCCGAGCCCATCATGTGTGTGAAGTGGAAGGATTCTCTCATGGACTCGTCCCCTCTAGTGCTGCCCTCTTGGTCAGCTGGTTTACTGTTTTTTGACATGAAAAATCTGTTGAGGGGAGGAAAAGTATCAACATTTAGGCATCTCTTCTTCTTGTTCATGTTAACTGGCTGTAAACTTAGGCAGAAAGTTCTGGTTGTTCGTCCATTTCTGCACTTTAGTCTTATTCTTGAGTGCTCTGCACATCCATTTCACAGATCTAGCTTAGGTTTAAGCAGTCTGTTGGTTCGTAGACAGATCCAATTTGACTTGAAATGATACACCCCTAATTAGTTGCCTTCTATGACAAGCCCCAAAACAGAACTCACATGAGGAACTTAGGTTGATAAATTCTTCTGCATATTGTCCTGGAGCCTGCTCGCAGTGAAATACTTAAAAAACATCCTCTGCTAAGTAACCATCGACCCGGCTGCTTTGAGATATCAGCTAAGTGATTTTGTGTATTTGTGTAGTATTGTTCGATTTGAATGTGCCGATGAAGGCTCCATAGCCGCAGCATTCACGTTTTGTTTGTATTTGTTATATTGTGAAGCTTGCTAATGTACTTTTCGTTCGGTTTTATATCTTTCCTTATAAGGGCAGAGACAACTTAAACGTTTTTAAAGTTAGAAACTCGGTCATTCAGAGCAGCAGTCAACCAGTTTTACAAGATATACAACCTTCGATCATTCTAAAATTAATATACCATTGCAAAATTAATATAATCCTTAAAAGATTAACAGAATCATTCTAAAGATGCAACTCAGAATGTGTCAACTATGATATGAAGATCAATGTAGACAAAACAGAAGTGATGATGACATTCTCCAGAAAAAAAGAGAACCACCAATATCAAAATGATGAAAACCAGTTAAAGCAAGCGACAGTTTTTACATATCTGGTGAGCTTTTGTTCAAAAGTCAGAAGAATTATTAAAGACATCTAGCAAAGATGCAATAAAGCCAATCATGTTTTAGGCCTAATGGCACTCATTTTGAAATGCAAGTATGTGAATATAAACACTAAAAAAAACGCTGTTCAACACAATATTCTTACCAACGCTATGCTATCAATGTCAAACATGGACACGTCTTCAGAAGACATAAGAAAAATACTCACGACAGAAATTAAATGTTTACGTACTATGCTAGGAATGATGCTATAAGGAGAAGAGTCAGCACAGAATGAATACTGAACTTTATAAGTAGACAACAGATCAGATGGTTTGGCCATGTAACATGATTGGCAGCTGACAGGGCCCCACAGAGAGCAGTGTTTTACAGATACAGTGGTAACAGAGCTAAAGATCCTCCACGCAGAAGAGGGACTGCGCAGATATATCAGACACTAAAAAGTACTTTAGACAAAGCTAAGAGAAGGGCCTGTTTCAGAGATATCTTCTTGCACTGTCACCGCGAGGCATTCCAGGAGGTAAGAAATGAAGAAAATTCTAAAGTAAACAGATTATAAAATTAACAGATCATTTCTATAGCTAACAGAAACATTCTAAAATTAACAGAAACATTCCTCACTTTTTGGTGGATGATGGTGTTCCGGCGTCGCCTGAACTGCTTGGCCGTTTGGTGCCGACTCCTTTCCGTACTGGAGACTTGAGCTTACTCTGTAAGAGAGACGCACCATGCTACACTATATAGGGTATGAGACGAGACATTTTCCCAATTTTTTTTTTAGTTTAAAACAATTAAGGGTTGAAGAAGCAGTGGGTCTAAGCCTCTTCCCCCCCCCCCCTTTCCACACATACAATATGGCTCTGAAATCCCATGGAAATCTACCAGACTCAAATTTATTAATGCAACTGGTGCCTATTTTAATTAAATACATCATTGCCAAGATCCTAATCAGGCTGGAATCAGCATAAAATATACAACAGCTTGACAGACACAGCAGGAGAATGTCAGATTCACGAAACATGCAGCGATGTAACACAGCACAGGAAATTAATAATGAATGTATAAATCAAGAACTGACATGAATGCACTCAAGATATTGCCACACATGCTCCGTCTCCTTCCTTAGAAACAATAAAGAGTTCCCATGACAACAATGCCGGCTACAATGTGATCAAATGTCTGCCCATAGATCAGCCCCTAAAACCCCTGGTAACCTCCAGCTGGATTAGTCTTTCAAGCGGCAAATACTCGGTTCTTCTGCACTGTCCACTTGATCTGACATAGCTTTCACAGCAGCTTTATCATAAAGTAGCTCCCAGCCCAGAGGAGCAGCAGCTAATCTATCAGTTTATTCATGACCTCAAACACCAGAATGTCCTAGCCAAAAAAAAAAACCCACGTCCGTGATCTGAGTCACTTACGCACCTTTCTGTTTTGTGGCTCTTTTCCTTCTTTTGGTTCTTTCATCTTTTTGGCTACCTGAAATTTTGAATACAACACAATATTGGTATGTACAACAACATGGGCAGCACGGTACTCAACACAACACATATACAGTGGAACCTCGCCCAATGAGCAAAAAATCGTTGCTTGTTATGCGAATTACTCGTTCTGGGAGGTGCTCGTTGAGTGAGGTTCTACTGTGTTGGTATGAATGACAAGGAGGGGTGGTAATCTACAAGTCTGACTCAACATGCCACCATACTGGGCGGAGCTATTCACCAATGACCGACTCAATCTATCAAAGATATTGGTATATACAACAAGAGTTGGGCGGTAATCTACAAGTCTGACTCAATATGACAAAGATCTAACAATTGTTGACACAGCACACTGGACATTCCAATGCATGCTTAGTTCTCCAATACAGCTGCCACACCCAGTCTCTACTTGAGCTCCATGGCACCCTTAACAAAGATATCACTAGGCAGAATGGTAGTAGGTAGGGTGGAAGTTAGACAGAATGGTAGTAGGTAGGGTGGAAGTTAGACAGAATGGTAGTAGGTAGGTTGGATGGTAGACAGAATGGTAGTAGGTAGGTTGGATGTTAGACAGAATGGTAGTAGGTAGGTTGGAAGTTGACAGATCGGACTCAACAAGGAAGGACAATCATTGCAGGTCACGCACATATTGCTGCACCAGAAGAGGTTTCCACCATTAAACTTTATCAAGCCGTCCAGGTAATGAACTGAGTGTCTGGTGTGATACTGTGAGCAGCAGAGTTCATGCACACAAAAAACATATATATATATATATATATATATATATATATATATATATATATAAATACACACACACTTATATATATATATATATATATATATATATATATATATATATATATATATATATATATATATATATATATATATATATATATATACACACATGTATATATATACACACATTCATGCATATTTAATATACATACACACCCATGAGTTTACATGCACACATACCTACTAGCTTGTCCTGCATACATATATAACACAGACTCTCATGTTTATGTATAACACACACACCCCAAGGATGAATGAACACACAGGAGAACACTACAGAAGTCTAACATACAGCAGTGTAGAAATAAAAGACCAAATCCAAGTCAAACCTTTTTAGCACTGGCTGGGAGGGATGCGTCACGGTCTGGGCTCGGGGATTTTGGATGCATCAATGTCACTTCGTCATCGACGGATGGTAAGTCTTCCAGCTTCCCTGATGCCTGCGGACAATAGTTACATCATGCGGTTAGTTTGCAGAGCCCCTGCAAGTGAGTTAAAGTCAACATTTTGAGATCATGAATCTTTCCCGTGGCAAGTTATGGATGTGAGTCAGCGACTCTTGACTCAATCATGGAAGAACTGAAATGCTACAGAACAATGCTGAGAATACCATGGACAAAGAGGAAGAAAAATCTGCTCATAAACAGCATGCTGTTGCAACAGATAAGCTCCTTAGTGGACAAGGATGCTATTTTTCGGCTCTACTGGCAAATCCGGACGAAGACTAAACAGCCTTGGACGACTTAGTCGGAGTTCTCTCCCGTGTGCGCACTCCAAACAGTGGTCGGAAAACAAACGAAACAAACGACACACTTAGCTATCATCCTGCGGTTGCGTGTAGGGCTGCGTACGGTTGCGTGAGGCATCGTGGCATCATCATATGGTTGCATGCAGGGTTACGTACGGTTGCGTGAGGCATTGTGAATGGTTGTGTAGTCATCATCATGCGGTTGTTGGATTAGGGTTAGGGTTAGGGGTAGATGTGACAATTTTGACGTAGGATTTCGAAATACTGGCCGACAATCTGATGTTTGTGGGAGTGGCGCCACTGAAACTTTGCCAAATATGACGCCAATAGCGTGCGGTTGGTGCCCCCAATCGTTGGCGAATTGTGCGTGTGACCAGCATCCAGAGGCCCTCGATTGTTTGTGTGTGTGTATGGGACTGTGCGCGATTATAGGGAACTCCGGCGTCAAAATTGTCAAATCTAACGCTAAACCTAACCCTACCGCTAACCCTAATCCTAATCCTACTCCCTAACCCTAACCCCTACCCCCTAACCACGCAAATTTATCGATCATTAAAGCATACAATTCGGCAAACACCAACAAACAAAACACACCCAAAAAAACACCCAGAATTGTCCTGCAGCGTCGAAAAAAAAAACCCACATCTGGGGGAAACAACCAAGCATTGGCAGCCCTGATGTCGACGTGACTGTCGTCTTTGTTTCGTTATGGCTTTTCCGATCACTGTTTGGAGTGCGCACACGGGAGAGAACTCTGACTAAGTCGTCCAAGGCTGTTTATTCTTCGTCCGGATTTGCCAGTAGAGCCTATTTTTCTAAACCAGTCTCTTCTCCTGCCCTTAGCTCCAGCTGAAGCATAGACCCAGTACCAAACTAAGTCACCTGCACACTTGTCCATAACTGCCTGAATTTTAAGTATAAGTCATCATCCTCATCATGTGCGATGCTGTTCCAGGCTGCATATTTTGTCATCTCACATGATCACCAGGATCCCAGATCAGTTCAATGTTTTTGTCCATATGGCATGGCTATCTAGGTTATTATCTCTTTTACTTCCTCTTGCACTCTTTCCATCAATGTTGCTGGTTGTTACCAAGTTCTCGAGTTGATTCTCTCTCATGGCATGTTCACAAACATTTACTGTTAGGTCTAACTGTTTTAAGTTTAAGATTTTCATTCACCTTGATGATTGACATCACACCATGAGTAAATGGTTTACGACTTTCATCCGCCTTGATGACTTCACAGCATAAGTAAATGGTTTTCAGCTATGCTTATTGTCTATTTCAGGAGCATCCTCACTGTACTTCAGGCATTCCTATAAGTGATCAGATCTTCTCCTAAGTATGTTTCTTGGTGTGTTTATGCTGACGACTCCTGTGATCAGATCTTCTCCTAAGTATGCTTCTTGGTGTGTTTATGCTGACGACTCCTGTGATCAGATCTTCTCCTAAGTATGCTTCTTGGTGTGTTTATGCTGACGACTCCTGTGCTCAGATCTTCTCCTAAGTATGTTTCTTGGTGTGTTTATGCTGACGACTCCTGTGCTCAGATCTTCTCCTAAGTATGCTTCTTGGTGTGTTTATGCTGACGACTCCTGTGCTCAGATCTTCTCCTAAGTATGTTTCTTGGTGTGTTTATGCTGACGACTCCTGTGATCAGATCTTCTCCTAAGTATGCTTCTTGGTGTGTTTATGCTGACGACTCCTGTGATCAGATCTTCTCCTAAGTATGTTTCTTGGTGTGTTTATGCTGACGACTCCTGTGATCAGATCTTCTCCTAAGTATGCTTCTTGGTGTGTTTATGCTGACGACTCCTGTGATCAGATCTTCTCCTAAGTATGTTTCTTGGTGTGTTTATGCTGACGACTCCTGTGCTCAGATCTTCTCCTAAGTATGCTTCTTGGTGTGTTTATGCTGACGACTCCTGTGATCAGATCTTCTCCTAAGTATGTTTCTTGGTGTGTTTATGCTGACGACTCCTGTGCTCAGATCTTCTCCTAAGTATGCTTCTTGGTGTGTTTATGCTGACGACTCCTGTGATCAGATCTTCTCCTAAGTATGTTTCTTGGTGTGTTTATGCTGACGACTCCTGTGATCAGATCTTCTCCTAAGTATGTTTCTTGGTGTGTTTATGCTGACGACTCCTGTGATCAGATCTTCTCCTAAGTATGCTTCTTGGTGTGTTTATGCTGACGACTCCTGTGATCAGATCTTCTCCTAAGTATGTTTCTTGGTGTGTTTATGCTGACGACTCCTGTGCTCAGATCTTCTCCTAAGTATGCTTCTTGGTGTGTTTATGCTGACGACTCCTGTGATCAGATCTTCTCCTAAGTATGTTTCTTGGTGTGTTTATGCTGACGACTCCTGTGCTCAGATCTTCTCCTAAGTATGCTTCTTGGTGTGTTTATGCTGACGACTCCTGTGATCAGATCTTCTCCTAAGTATGTTTCTTGGTGTGTTTATGCTGACGACTCCTGTGATCAGATCTTCTCCTAAGTATGTTTCTTGGTGTGTTTATGCTCACGACTCCTGTGCTCAGATCTTCTCCTAAGTATGCTTCTTGGTGTGTTTATGCTGACGACTCCTGTGCTCAGATCTTCTCCTAAGTATGTTTCTTGGTGTGTTTATGCTGACGACTCCTGTGATCAGATCTTCTCCTAAGTATGTTTCTTGGTGTGTTTATGCTCACGACTCCTGTGCTCAGATCTTCTCCTAAGTATGCTTCTTGGTGTGTTTATGCTGACGACTCCTGTGCTCAGATCTTCTCCTAAGTATGCTTCTTGGTGTGTTTATGCTGACGACTCCTGTGCTCAGATCTTCTCCTAAGTATGTTTCTTGGTGTGTTTATGCTCACGACTCCTGTGATCAGATCTTCTCCTAAGTATGTTTCTTGGTGTGTTTATGCTCACGACTCCTGTGCTCAGATCTTCTCCTAAGTATGTTTCTTGGTGTGTTTATGCTGACGACTCCTGTGCTCAGATCTTCTCCTAAGTATGTTTCTTGGTATGTTTATGCTGACGACTCCTGTGCTCAGATCTTCTCCTAAGTATGTTTCTTGGTGTGTTTATGCTGACGACTCCTGTGCTCAGATCTTCTCCTAAGTATGTTTCTTAGTGTGTTTATGCTCACGACTCCTGTTCTCAGATCTTCTTCCAAGTATGTTTCAGTGGCAGACGGTCGTGCCAAACAAGCAGACTGACAGTGGCAGACGATCGTGCTAAACAAGCACACTGACAGTGGCAGACGGCAGTGGTGAATCTCAGCATGGACGATGACGGCAATGACGCAAGGTATGAAGGATATTAATACTGTTCCGTGCGTTATCGCCTACAAGAGATGTCGCTTATCTTGGCTGCGAGCAAATCTCTTGTTATAGGGCTGAATCTCAGCAGAACAGTAATTCTTCCCACCCATCAGACATTTTAAACCGAGGGTTATAATTAATAGTGTGTTTGGCTAGTGGTTGTTACCCATATTCCAAATGGTAGACGTTTTCACCCATGCATTGGGGGTGGGCTGGTGCCAACCAAACTGGACCTACATCTCTAGAGGCCATCAACTCCGAGGACCCTGCAAACTCGGTTCAGGTCACAAAGGTAAGCCCTTATCCGTGGCGCACAATGTGGACATGGGGCAGGAGTCGTGTGTGAGGATCCATCAAACCATCCAAGAGTCGGCTGGCGCCTGAGCTGGGGGTATGGAGTAACTACTTATACACATGACAATGGCCTTAACTTTTTCAACTCCTGTGATCTATACCACTGCGCCACATTGTATCAATTAACTTGCTTAATGAAGAATTATGGCGCCTGCATGTATTCCCACTTTGGTATTTCTCTCTTCTTGGTGATGACCATAATTTCAGTTTCCTTACAATTTAATTCTAAGCCTAGTTTCTCACTGTGAACTTTTACTGCATCCATTTAACAATGTAAATCTTCTTCACTGTTTGCAATTAACACCTGCAAATCTTATACTGTTGATATTACATCCTCCCACATTAATTCCCCTCACATCTTTCAGATGTCGCTTATATTTTCATTGTATAATGGGAAAAAATATCTGAAGACATTACACATCACTGTCGCAGACTTCTCTAGACTGGTTGATAGAGACCTAATTCATGATTGACTGTTATAGCAGCACGCTGTTCCAGTATACGATCTGAATCAGTTCAAGATCTTTGCCATCAATTTGCTTGAAGTAAAGGCCCCTTTACCCCACACCTGGGGCATATACTGCTAGACCTATATTTGATAGATTAGTCAACACTTAGTGACTCATGTGCTTAAAATCACGCCGGCCGCCTTTACTTCCCAGGACTACCTGGTACAAACCTAGGTCGACCTGGCAGCCAAATTTATTTTTTCAAAAAGTCTGGGTCCGTTTAATTTGAACCCACTACTTGCGGATCCACAGGCAAGCCTCTAGTCTCATACAGACCCATCTTAGTTGCCGTCCAAATAACTTATGGTAAAACAGCAGACAGACGGCTGACGCTGTAAAAGTATTTGTTTCCAGCTATGTTTTACTGATGCAAATGCTTCCTTTCCTGAGTGCAACAATGTAAGGTGTGGATTTGCCGTGCAATGTTTTCCCCCTTCCAAAATGGAGGCCTGGATCCAACAGTGGGAGTGATGTCAGTAATTCGGAGTGATTCAAAAAGATTGGATTTTGTTGTTGCTTCTTACTCTCGGGTTTCTGCATAATACAAACTTTATACAGGGATATCCTTACCAACAAGGCCTGATGTTCATTCTCAATAGCCTCCAGCGCTTCTTTGAATCCCTTGGGGATGCGGGAGCTTCCTTCATATTTGCTCTTGTACTCTGGGTACCTGTAGATGTTCTCTTCCTGAATCCAGGCACTGCAAGGACAAGGCAACAAGTTAGTGGGGTTTTAGTATTCTCATCAAACTGGCTAAATCATGTGTGTAACCTTCTCATACTGGCTAAATCATGTGTGGATAATTTCTCATACTGGCTAAATCATGTGTGTAACCTTCTCATACTGGCTAAACGGTGTGCGCAACTTTCTCATCAAACTGTCTAACAAGTGTGTGTGTGTGTGTAACTGATATAATTGTGTCTGTAACTTTCTCATCAAATTGGCTGAATAGTATGTATAACTTTCTCATCAAAATAATCATACAGTACTTGCAACTTTCTCATTAAAATGGCTGAACGGTGCTTGACACTTTCTCACCAAACTGACTGAACAGTGTTTCTAACTTTCTCACCAAACTGACTGAACAGTGTTTCTAACTTTCTCACCAAACTGACTGAACAGTGTTTCTAACTTTCTCACCAAACTGACTGAAAACTTCCTCAGCAAATTGGTTGATTTATGTTTGCAACTTTCTCACCAAACTGACTGAAAACTTCCTCAGCAAATTGGTTGATTTATGTTTGCAACTTTCTCACCAAACTGGCTGAAAACTTCCTTAGCAAATTGGTTGATTTATGTTTGCAACTTTCTCACCAAACTGACTGAAAACTTCCTCAGCAAATTGGTTGATTTATGTTTGCAACTTTCTCACCAAACTGACTGAAAACTTCCTCAGCAAATTGGTTGATTTATGTTTGCAACTTTCTCAACAAACTGGCTGAAAACTTCCTTAGCAAATTGGTTGATTTATGTTTGCAACTTTCTCACCAAACTGGCTGAAAACTTCCTCAGCAAATTGGTTGATTTATGTTTGCAACTTTCTCATCAACAAGCTGAAGGTTTATGTAGCACAGCTGTCTTCTTCGTGTACGTTGATGTCACATCTAGGTTTGTCTTTTAGCCTGCTAGAGAAAGATTCAATTGGAAGAGGACAGACAAGGAGAAAGATTGTCTGTTGAAAGTGGTGATGATGATGGTCTCTCATGCTTGCTGTATGCTTGTATAACAAAATATTTGGAAACAACTCTTCTGTTCCATACTGTCTTTATTGTTATACTTCAGCAATGTCACACATAACATTAATGATATTCTGAACGACCACTGTTTTAGCTCTATGGTTACATACTCTTGAGGCTGCGTTGCGTTCTTCATCCCTAGCTACTTGGTTAGCTGGTTCTAGTGTCCGTAACTGCCACCTGACATCTAGCGCTGTCTGGTACTAGCGGCTTAATCGTCGACTCCCAACATCTCAATAGTAATGTTTCTGTTATCCATGCATCTTGTCTGTTGTCTCTGTAGTTCGATGTCACCTCTCTAGTATCTAGCTTTGAGGCTCTATGTGACTGGCTCTTCTTATTCTAGTGTTGAGCTGGCCTATCCATAAGTGAAGGCTCAACGGCTGATGGTCCTCTTTGAGGGTCATTATGACTAGTCCCTACTCTTTAAGTCTGGTAGACTTAAGGTTGCCTAAGTGGTTTCTTTCCCACTATTTATACTGAAGTGCTGGAATGCATGGTAAGTGTTTTGTACTCAATAACTGCCTCCAGAATGTTTTAGTACGACTCAACATGTTTATTATGTGCGTTCTCACGTGGGATTTTCTAACTGCGTTTGGATTGCATCAGACAGTTTACACCAAAATATACTAATTGGGTTGACAGGTGTCCTTCTATGGCCTTCTAGAAAGTCAGTACGTTAAGGCTCTCGATCTTTGATATGACACGTCAACGATTACATCATATGCTATTTATATAGCTGTTATTCATTTGCAAATACTTCTCTGCATGTGATGGTTCTAGAAAGGATTGTCCAGATTAATAAGACCTGCTGACTTCAGTCCTATCAACTAATACGCAATATCCTAACAAACAAGTGATGATGTATCCCTATTTCTTTTAAGGCTAAAATAAAAATGAGCTAAAGAAAAAAAAAATGTGGAGACTGTATAAACTAATACAATAAACAAACAGATCCGTTTTGAGATAAAAGGACATACTAGACACTAAAGTAGGAAGCTACAATCACCATGCCCTGAATTGAAACTGCCCACCACCTCACTAGTTCCTGCAGATGCAACCATATTTCAAAGAAAGGTTCCAATGATTCAACTGCTAGGACATGCTTGTTGGGAAGCTTGGGCAGGTGCACTCCCATTTCAAAGAAAGGTTCCAATGATTCAACTGCTAGGACATGCTTGTAGGGAAGTTTGGGCAGATGCAATCCCATTTCGAAGAAAGGTTCCAATGATTCAACTGCTAGGACATGCTTGTTGGGAAGGCAGTGGGTCTATCCTCAATCCCGCACAATGGGGCCCTACAAGAATTCTTAGGTCCCCAGTGAAGAATAGTACATGTCTAGTATATTTTAATTATTTAACCATCTGAGTCCCAAGGAATGCATCACGCACTATTTAGTAACTACTTGGTGATCTAATCAACAGTGAAGTGTGAAGTGTACAGGTTTTTAGTTTAGTACTGACCAGTGTAAATCCATGAGATTTAGATTTAGATTCAGAAAATGGCGCGATGCCGGTCGTGCAATGCTGGCGGGACCCGAATTAAAATTGATCGCGCGGGCAACTGCTGATCTGTTGGCGACAAGTTCTGCTATCAACAATGATGAACTACATTTCTAATGTTGGACTGTTTGTGTTAGCACTTCGGATGGCTACCATATGCGTTAATGCGAGTGTATGCTAGATATGCTGATACAGCAGTCTGTCAATCTTTCCACAAGGGACTGTGATAAACATTCTGGGTGTTTTTCGCTGGCACAGGAGCGGAGCAAAGATGGGGCGACCCGTTTGCTATGAAGCTGAAACTAAGACTACCAGACATGAGATTTATTTGGAATCACTGTTAAATATCTAAGAACCTACGGATCTGTCTGGAATGCTGTAATAACAGTTTTCACTAATCAGTAATCTTTCAGTCCGATAGTCTTTGTTGTTTGAAAGTTGTATTCGAATATGAAAGCAGTCAGTGAAGAACTTTAAGAGATTAGCTACCACCAACAGAGGAACATTTACATTGTTTATTTATATAGTTTATATAGTTCTATAACAGGGAAACGTCACCACTTGCTTGTTAATAAGTAGGATATTGCATATTAGTTGAAGGTATCGAAATCAACAGGTCTTAGCAATCTTCACGATCCCTTTCTAGAATCATCACTTGTTTATTAGAAGAGAGTTCTGCAAATGAATAACCAATAAATAGTATCTGATGTAATATTTGTTGACGTGCCCTTTCAAGGAGAACACAGTAGTATTCACTTTCTGATAGACCTCAGAAGGTCAACTGTCAATTCAATTGCCAGTTGATTGGTGCAGTGTTAATTGATGCTATAGAGATGTAATCAGAAAATTCCACGTGGAGAACATAAATAGTAATCAAGTTTTAGCACACAAGAATCTTCCAGAAGCAGTAGTGAGTAGAAAACACATACCACACATTCCAGCATCTCAGTATAAATAGTGGGTAAGAAACTACTTGGGTAACTTTCAGTCGAGACTTGAAACAGGAGGGACTAATAATATGTACCATCAAAGACAAGAACCTTCATTCTTCTGTCTATGAGACTTAAAAGAAAAAGGACTAGTCACATGGACCTTAACAGACAAGAACCTTCAGTTGCGGAGTTGTCAGCTCAACACTAATTACTAAGATGTTAAGATAGACGATTAAACTGTAAGTACCAGACAGCACTAGAAGCCAGGTGGCAGTTACAGACACTAGAACCAGTTAAAGTAACTAGAGATAAAAATCAACATGACCTCAAGAGCATGTAACCATAGAGCTATCATCAATATTATTTTGTGACACTACTGAGGTAAAAAAATAAAGACAATACAGAAAAAAATAGTTTAAAGAGATTTTGGTATACAATCATCAGAGTGACGTGAGCAGCACATAGCAAGCAGGAGAGAGAATCACTATCACCATTATAGACATAACTATCTTTCTTCTCATCTGTATTCTTTAACCGACTCCTGTAGCAAACTAATGATCAACCTGGGTGTGTCATCAACAAACACAAAGAAGACAGCTGTGCTACAGTTCATGTTAATTTGTGGTTCATTGCTAGATATATTTCAAAGTTTTCCTAGGGCACCATGGTGGTAAGCGGACAAATTATTATTAAGTTAACTCTATTCCTCTTAACATCTTGTGTTTTTGTTTTACTAATGTTTAATTACTAACACAACCCCTAGTCACTTTGATGTACAATTTGTGTATGCTGTGCAGTAGGTGAATTAGTATAGTATGTTTTAATGTGACTGAAATGTGTTACACTTGTGACATTTGAAAACTGCATTACCCCTCTTGGGGCTCTGATGGTAAAACCCATACAACCCAAGGGGGCATATAGTCTGTACTGAGATGATATTAGAACAGTTTCTGCATGAATGTCTAGGGGTTAGGGGTATTTCTGATTCGCCATGGAAGATGACTAGAAGAAGAAACAATTAAAGCTTCAGTGATATTTTGTTTTCCAGTGAGGTGGCTCACCCTGACTACATAAATATTAAAGATGTCTTTAACTAACTTGATACTTTAATGAACTTACTAATTTTCAGATCCAAAGAAATACACAAATTGGACAACTTTCTTGTTTCCTGGCTTCTTTATATTTTCTTTTGGCTCCACGATCTGTTAATGATAATTATTATTTCAGCTAATTGATGTATCAGGAGGACAGTGCAACAGTACAGACAAAGTATCCATACATCAAAAGACTGATTGAGAGGTCCAGAAAAGGAAGAGGAAGGGGTGTGTGCGTGTGTGAACAGATGATGTGGACAAATGACTGGCACCTTGCCGTCCTTCCAAACAACCATGTTCCACTGTGCTATGGGGAGGCATGGAAAATACAACCCATGGTGAAGGCAGAGTGTGACTAACAAGACACACCTGCATGTTTCTCCTCTCCATAGCACAACATCTGCGCAGTTCTACAGAGACCAGGTGTTGCCCATGCACCATGATCTCACTCTTCTCTCTGCTGCTTTTGTTTACCCCAAAAGAAAGGTAACACCAACATGTTTAGAACAAAGCCCACTGCAGAAGCTGCTGCATCAGCATCTAAGGATAAAGAGGCAACCAACTACAAGACGGTTTGATTAGAGACTAGAGGAAAACATAGGCAGTATCTATAGCTAGGAATCTCTGGCCTAGGAGTATCAGCCCTATCTACTTCACAGTGTACAAAGTTTGAACAGATTCAAAATAAAGGAATGAGAATTGTCTTGGGTTTGACATGAGATACTCCAATTAGAACAATGTGGTATATGCTTGAGATGACACCAGTAAAGTCTAGACTGTCTCTGGCACAAGCCAAGGCCTATATGCAAATTACCAATGACTAAAGGCATCCGCTGCATGGCGTTCTGAAAGATTTAACAGCAGACGGGGTTGAAAAGAGAAAAGTCATGGTTGTCATTAACTGAACTGGCAGAATAAAAGGTACAACAATGACAGATGGAAAGGCTGGGCTAGATGATGCAGTTGTGTACTCTGATGGTTCTGTTCATCTGGGTGTAAGATTTGGCTGAGGATTTTCAGCTAGAATGAAGGGAAAAATTGTGGAAGAACAAAACAGTTTTTTTCTCTACAAAGTTAAGCAGGAGAATGGAAGTGGAGGCAATCACTGCGACTCTGAAGAGGACAGCAGAAAACAAAGTGACCAGAGGAATTATTGTGTCTGATTCTCAATCTATACCGCTGAAGGTTCAAAATGGATTAATGTGGCATGAGTGGATACCAAGCACCAGTACGCCAACATTGTAGGGAATCACACATAAGTACTGTCCAGAACATTCAAGAGTGCGAGCCAATGAAAACACTGGACAAGGGAGATATTTGAAGACCATAACTGAAAAAATGCTGACAGAAGACACGAGATTAGATGAAATAACATGTAAGAATGTGTGAACGAGGAATTAGGAGTAGATCCGGTAAGGAAGGACGTATGAGAGGAAGAGAACAGCGTGTTAATAATCAGTGTACTACGGCATTAGTTGGCATCTACACTTTAGGACATTTGCTGTGGAAGATGGAGCATCTATGGGTTTGCCATTTGCACTATGATGTTGATTCTTAAATCAGTATCTCAAGCAATCAATAACAAAAAAATACCAATACACTGGAAGATGAAAGGCAGAAAGAATGACCTCTGTTTTTCAGCAAACTTGAGGGATTATGGCTCGTCCATCTCCTCTTCAGTAGTTGGATAAACACCTTAACTATTTACTGCTACAACAAAACTGCCAGACTAACACAATACTACAACAAAACTGCCAGACTAACACAATACTACAACAAAACTGCCAGACTAACACAATACTACAACAAAACTGCCAGACTAACACAATACTACAACAAAACTGCCAGACTAACACAATACTACAACTAAACTGCCAGACTAACACAATACTACAACAAAACTGCCAGACTAACACAATACTACAACAAAACTGCCAGACTAACACAATACTACAACTAAACTGCCAGACTAACACAATACTACAACTAAACTGCCAGACTAACACAATACTACAACAAAACTGCCAGACTAACACAATACTACAACAAAACTGCCAGACTAACACAATACTACAACTAAACTGCCAGACTAACACAATACTACAACTAAACCATACAAGAACTCCAGAATAGTAGAGTATGTACACTCAAAAAGGACATAAATGAGGACGTGATCTCAAGGACAGAAAACATGATATAATACCTCCCAGACAAAAACCACAACATGGGAAATGAAGAGTACAGCCACTGTTACACATAGCACAATTACAAAAACAAAAGATGACCAAGAATGAAAGGGAACCAGGCATATACTGAGTAATGTCACACACAGCCAGGTACAATTAGCCACAAATCCTGGCACAACAAACCATTTAAGCCATGAATTTAGTGCCCAATTAAAAAAAAAAAAAAAAAAAAATAACCACAATTATAACTGAAGCTACCTTCAGCAGACATAAACGTGGTGAACATTAAAAAAAAATACCAACAACTGCTACAACCATATTGTTCCAACTGGTGGTACTGATACAACATCAATTAAGAAAAATTCCAAAATTACTCTATTTGGCTTACAACAAATAGGACATTTAGGCTATCTCGAATAACGGTTCCAAATTATAGAGGCTAAGAAAATACCCTAACAGGGCCTTAATTTTTGTGACTGGGTTGCCAGGAAACAACGCGTGACTAGTACCGCTGTTGTAATGTCGCGTCCGTGTAAGTTCCATCCATAACCCATCAATCGATAGTGCCACTGTTCCAGATTCTGGTGGCGGTGTCGTAATTGCAATACTCCTTGTCCTAACCCTAAACCTAGGACCCAGGGAAGAAGTTAAACCTAGCACTCAGTGTTGGAGCTGTTGATGCCCTCGATGATTTGGGGCCATTAAATGGTTATTCAGTGTTTCCCGTGCTATGTGGTATATTTGCCGGAAAAAAGTCCACAATTTACATATGATTGAGGCCCTGTTACTGTATTTTCTTCTTCTTCTTGACTTCCTCTTTTACCGCTGTGGGTGTTGAGGGAGATATAAGAATCTGTTTCTAGCTCTTCTGACCGCCTCGACCATAGGCACATCATCCAGTTTCTCTGATGTTATCCTTCCATCTTGTTCTTGGTCTACCCCGTGCTCTACGTTCTTCTTCTCTTTCCATGTATGATTTGTATGGTATGGTGTCACAAGGCATTCTCTCTAAGCAGGCAAACCATTTCACTTGCTGTCTTCGTATATAATTAAGAATTGGTTCTGTGCCGACTTTTTCTCTTATGATTTCATTCCTGATCTTATCTCTTATGGTCACTCCTACAGCCCTTCTCAGACATCTCATTTCCATGGCTACTAATTTTCTTTTATGGTTTGTTGTGAGTGACCATGTTTGGCACTGGTAGCACAGAGTTGGAATAAATATGGTTTGAATAAGATGTCTCTTTGTGCTGACTGGGATTGTCTTATGCTGTAAGAGGGGGGCAAGCTGTCCCAATATTTGGTTTGCTTTACTGCATCTAATGGTAATTTCTTTATCCAATTTCCCATCTTCGGTAAATGTAGTTCCCAGATATTTAAACTTAGATGCCTGTTTAACTTTGCATTCTATTGCTATGTTTAGATCTGTCTTCTTTTTTCCTATTGACATTACTTCTGTCTTTTCAGTGTTGATTCTCATATTATTTGTTTTACATTCTTCATTCATGGATGTTAGATGTTGTTGCAATTTCATGGCTGTATCTGCTATCAAGGCCTGGTCATCTGCAAAGAGTAATTCGTTGATCTTACTAACATTTTCATTCATGGGCTTGGCATTCTTGCATATACTGTCGATATAGGTGATATACAGCAGTGGTGATAGGTCTTGGCCTTGATAATTGAGACCGTTATTCAGAGGATAGTCAGACATTAACAACATTACATTAGATTACTACAACATTTTGCCAGTTGAAGTACTGCAACGGTAATGGAATCAGGACATTATTTGGCTCTCCTTTAAATAACGGTCGCTAACTGGAAGGCGACGGCCGCTTCCTTGGAGTTCACTCCCTTGGCTGCAGTGCAAATACAGAGCTGACAAGTCACGAATCAAACAACAAAGTGAGGTCGACATGGCTGCTAGACCACACGCTGCGACTGACAGTAGCGACCGCGGTCTTGCGACGCACGACTTAGTGACCGTAGATGTGAGACCTGCGGATCTGTATGTGGTAATAAGCGATAATGTGGTAATGAGCGATAATAAGCTTCCGTCGTGTCCGTGATGTGTCACCCTAACCCTACCCCTAACCCAAGCCCTAAGCCTAACCCTAGGATGACAGGTAACTATATCATGTGTTTAATTCCCTCTTTACCACTCCATATTTGCACTGCAGCCAAGGGAGTAAACTCTGACTAAGCGACCATCGCCTTCCAGCTAGCGACCGTTATATAAAGGAGAGCCCATTATTTCATTAATGACCACTACAACACTACTCCAGTTGGCTCTACTCTACTGCATCAACTGGTAAAATGTTTTAATTTAGTTGAAGAAAGCTACTACAATAACAGTTTACATAGGGCCCAATAATAAAATTACACACAATCTTACAACTACACAATATCAATATATATACACATGGCATTTTATTTTTTTTTAAATTTTACTATGCCAGGCGATCCAACCAACCATGCCTGACAACCTAAATAAACAGCACTCTAACACATCCATCCAACATTCACAAAACTGTCCCAATCTGCAACCTATCATCCCACCTGCAATAAAATAAAAAATAAAAACTGACAAGCTTCCATTTGAACTTTAAAAAAAAACTACGATCCAAGCAAGTTGTTCAGTTGTTCGCCCTTTTTTACTCAATTACTAGCGTCTATGCCGGTACATACCTTCCCTGGCCATGCCTGGAAGCCTTTCATCTTGGCCCTGCAACAAACAAACACCAAGCATTATAATAGATAACCAGCAGCGTACAGAAACGTATGGCGGTAGATATCAAGGAGAACAAGAGCAAATTTCTCACCAGACAAGATCGCCGAGTTTGAAAGTGGTCGCCATGTTGCTTGTCAACACAGTCTGCGCGGGGCATGCTGGGAGCGGCCTGCTGGTCACGCTAACCCGCTAGT